TATATATATATATATATATATATATATATATATATATATATATATATGGGTTTTATTCAAAATAATCTATAATAAACTTGCAGTCACTTGATAAATGTGTGTCATAACCACTCTCCATCATTTCAAATTCATTAATATTTATTACAAATAATATCTATTAAATAAATACAAATTTTACTATAGGGTTAATTAAAGTTAAATATATTTAATTAATTTATGAAATCAAAAATTAAATAATTAAAACTATAAATACTCAACTCTAATTGTTTTTCAATATGTAATGTTGCATGGTGGTTAACTGGTTTTGGCCCTCCACATCATCCATTTTTAAAAATTATAAGAATTAACTGTAAGACCTATGTATTACATTTGTTAATTTAAAAAAAATTATATATAAAGATCTAAATATTTGAGAATTTTGGATTATAAGAAAATAAGAAAAATAATGAATTATTAAATTGGAATGTTATTTTATCTTGTAAATTTAAACAATAATTTAAATAAATAAACAAAAGAAACTAATAAACTTTAATTTGGAAATTTTAAAATTAGAAATTAAGTCCATTAATGAAATTGATTTTTTTTAAACAACAAATTATCATACTCCTAATCTAATCCTAAACACTACATATGTCTCCTAGTGAAACTTGAAGCCATGAGCTCTCATTTGAGAGAGTCACTCATTACCACTAGGCCAAAGACCCTTTGGTATTAATAAAATTGATATTCGTTTATTACTAGATTTATTGTAATTATTACATTGAAATATTATATGGAATTTAATAAAGCAGGAAAAACCCATAAAATGACATGTAGAAAAAAAATTAATTCAAAATAACCAAATAATGATATTTGGGAAATTGAATAAGAGTGTGATATGTGATAAAAAATCTTCATTTATTAGAGCAGATTTCTAAATTCGACATGTATTTTTTCGCTGCTACCCTTTTACATTCACCACCCATGTACACTAATTGATGTTAAATGGTCATGTATCCATATACATTCACCGTCCTTGTACATGGATTGAAAAAACTTCAAAATTCGTTTTAAAAATTGGATTCATACACCACCCATGTAAATTAATTGATGTTGGCTTCACATAAGAAATATAAATGACTCGGTTTGAAACTGTGTCTACAAACTCATTCCCGCTGTTGTTAAACATTTAAGTCTTAGTCTTGAAAAAAACTGGAAACAATGAAACATGGGAGTTAAATACATGAAATATAGAATCTTTGTTTTTCATTTTTTAAGAATTAATGTATGTTAAAAGGATAACCTTTGAGAAAAGGTTTAATGTTTTTAGCACATTGGATTTAAGAAACTGTAAAATTGAATTACTATAAAGGGAAAATAAGAAAGGAATCGTGAAGCTACATAAATTAAAACCCCAAGTCCCTGAGTGCTAGGTAAATCATAACAAGACAACACAATTAGAAAATATACAAAATAAAAAATATAAGATATATATTTGGATTTAATTTCAGATATCCAAAATATCCAAAATTCTTTAAAATCAATATCCGAATCCGAATACGAAAAATCGGATATCCGAATTTTTGAATCATTTTAGTTTGTATTTTTGGATTGAATTTACATATATTTTTGAGCACCCCAACCATGACCAACTCAGCAACTCTCCACCTTAGCATGAAGTCCCATACTCGTTAGCCTTAGGTAATTAGGTTGTATATATGCATGAACCAGAAATAACTTTTTAATAAAAGATTGGTTGCCATGTATGTAGTATCCAACTTTACATGGTTTAAGAGCAATTACATGTGTCGATTCAAATTGAATGTTACCCATGTTATCAATCAACGGTTCTCACGAATTTGGAAATGATTCAATGTTACCAACTCAGGTCTCAACTCAATATCCGATTTCACATTTTGTTTCCAAAGTTTAGTTTTCACAAAATGCCCAAAATGGCATGACCTTTTGTCGACTGTCACTTTTTATTTTAATTTTTGCGTAATAAGTAAGGTTACACTAATGAAGTAAGTAAATTAGCTAATGGGTACGAAACATTATCTATGAGCAGGTTGTTTACTTCTATGTGAGGATGGCTCTGAAGAAAGGTTTTATGGATGCATAATAGACGCAGATACCCATGAAACTCTGAGATTGTTGGGGGAAGAAGCTACAAATGCAGAAAGAAGAATATTTGGGGCTTTTAATTATGTATACAGGTATTATGTTCCTTTACGTTGGAGTGGTCTTGGCCTACTTAATGTATGGATTGACAACCTTTTGTGTGAACGTTAATATCATCAGAAACTAGCTCATGGCTAGAACGAGTTTGATTCCCAAAAAAATTAAAAACATCTTACCTTCTTTTACTTCATAAAAGTGTGTCTTTGTGACCTGTTTTTTCTCTTGAAAGACAACACGAATACAAATTCTTCAAACAAAAGAAATCGTGAGGGCTCCCAAATGAACTGAATCAACCAAACTAATGGATGTCTAAGTAGCGGATACGATCAAGATTCTTTGGTCATCCCAAATGAACAATAATTTCTTCTCAATAAACATGATAATGATTTTAAATGGATAATAGCTCTTTCTTTTTAATTGGCAGTGACGTTTTTCTACACAATGACAAAAGTCTAATGCCTCGAAACCGAACAACATGGAGTGCACTGAATTTTCTTGGAACCAAGGATAACAAAGTCTGCTTAACGTATTGGTTAAATGTGCTCCAGGTATACATGATGTTTTGCATCTTAAATTTTAATATGCTAATTGAGGGCTCTTAAACGAATAGAAATTTAAGATGATATTTTTGAATTAAATATAGAATTTAAAAGAAATAAATTGGCAGCCTCCTTCTTAACTTGTTACGCAGCAATGAAGACAGAAAGAGGAGAAAGAAACTGTTGTGGCTAAACTAAATACAATATGTGGATAATAGAGAGAAGTAAAGACAAAATACCAACTCAAATAAAAACTATTTACTAAAAGACATAAAATATAAAATCATCAATAATTATTAAACCAAAGTTTCAACCATGCATGTGAGTATGCGATAATTAAACCGATTAACCCAACAATCATCCTTTTAATCGGTTTATTCATACCACTCGTTTACAATAGTGTGGGCTCCCCTTCGATTAGATTTGCTTCTTGCTTCTCCCACTTAGGACACTCATTGCTATAGTGACCATATTCACCACATTTGTAACACTTAACATGACTTTTATCCCGGACACGTTCAAATCCGTCTTGACTCTTCCCAGACCCATTGACCTCTTCCCCAGCTACGTCCAAAGTCATCCCGATTTGAACTTCCATAGCCACAATGTTTACAACCATGTGCGTTTTCCTCGTAACCCTTCAACCTTCCAACGGGCTCGTCAAACAACATAAAATCTAGCTCAAAACATTGTTCAATTATGCCAAGATTTGGAGAAACGATATTGGCATCGAGTCAAGTAATCTTTTCACCAACTCCACCTCTTCAAGCTCATATCCAAGGCTTCTTACTTTTGAGGCTAAATGGGTTAGTTTGTCGCGAAGTGATCAACCATTTCACCCTGTTTCATCCGCAAGCCTTCGAGTTCCCTCTTTAACGTTGCAAGTTGAGCCATTCTCACCCGATCTACTCCCAAATACCATATCTTCAGCGCATCCCACACTTGTTTTGGATCGGTGTAACTCGCCATTTGCAATACCATGTCTTTGGGTATCGTTTGAAACAAAAATGAAAGAGCTTGTTTCGACTTCTTTGGATCTGATCTTCTCCTAATGTCTTCGGTTAAACCGTCTCCCATATCCTGTGTGCATCCATGATCGACTTCACCTTGACTCCCACACCGAATAATTTGTTGTTGTAAAAAACAGAACTTGATATGACACTGTGCCTCCTTCTTTTGTTGGTACCAATGTTATTTTTTTCTTACTTTGTGACAACCCCAACCTTTTCCGATACAACCCGTTCCTATCGAGAGTCTTCTTCCACCAGTCAAGAAAACCAAGCTCTTGCTTCTTCTTTTTTCTTTTACCGGATGTGAGAAAGCCAAATCAAAACCTACTTGTACTGATTTCTTTCCGCTTCTCTTCTTCGCTTCTGGTTAGGCTATCTTTAACTTGGAACATAGATCTTCAAGGATAGAGTTGTGCCTTTCTTCTTGCTATAAAAACTTACACCCCTTCAACAGAACCTAGGAGCTCTGATACCAAATGTAGAATATAAAATAAATAAATTGGCAGCCTCCTTCTTCTTGTTATGGAGTAATGAAGACAGAAAGAGGAGAAAGAAAATGTCGTGGCTAAACTGAATACAATGTGTGGATATTAGAGAGAAGTAAAGACAAAATCCTCTTATTTTATTCATATCAGTAAAGGCTATATATATATATATATATAT